ATGTCTAAATTTGCAGTGTTTCGAGCAGCCTTGTTATAATATATTTTACTAAATACACTTTGATGTTGACTCATTCTGGGCTCGGCCGCCGTCGTGAGTGTATTATTGTATCATTTGTTTACAGCGGCTCCTAATGAAAAATATCGATCGCTGTAGAAATACAAAATATTCCTAAAACAAAATTTTTATACATACTTGACTAAGGTAGGATATTATTATTATTTTTATAATCTCTTTCTCTAAAAGTACGTAGGATTTATATATCAATATACTTATACGACTTGGACTTTATGGAGTGACCTAAAGGTGTATATCGGTATCTGCTACTAGAAATACTCGACGAATAGACTAGGTGTGTCGAGATTGTGCTTCTTATGTTAGTAGTGATGAGACTTTACCCCCTTGACGGAGTGACCTGAAGGTATACTTCGGTGAATGCAACTGGAACTCCTCGAAGAGTAGCAATAGTAATAAGTGAGCTGAGCTTGGGCTCGTTTTGTTAGTTATGATGAGACCTTATCTTCGGACAGTGGCGGATTATCCAGGCAATCTAGGCACGTGCCGAGGGGCGCAAGGTTAAAAAAGGGGCGTGCGTGGAAATTTTTTACGAAATAAATCGAATCGAATTACAAAGATAAGGTTATTAGTGAAAACTTGAGTGTATTTAAAATATTTAAAAAAAATTGACGTATGACAGGAGCGCTTAAGGCATGCACAATTGGATTTACGAAAAATTTTAGTCATACGTATCTTGGCGATAGAGTAGGAAATTTTAAGAAAACTAAACTAAACTTTGAGCCAAAAATCGATAAATGATAAAAAATGTTCCCATTTCGTAGCAGATTTAATCGGAGACTTTAGATATCGCTTATGAATCTTATATGAGGTTGATAGAAAATTTATCAAGGGTCATTTCATACCCACACGCTTTTTAAGTTTCTTCACAGTTTTCTCTAAAACTGTAAAAACCGCGCTTTGGGCCACTTTATGGGAGGGTGACGCTCACCTGGCTGGAGGGAGAGTGGATAAAATTTAATTTTGTCTTATAACATACATATGCCGATAAATAAAACTTACGTGATCTATTAAATTGGCCCTACTAATAGAACTAGGGGTTATTTTCATTCATGTATTCCTTAATATTATAATAAACCCTTCACTTTTTGTACATTTTTTTCTTTAATAAAACTCAAAAACGTTGACTGATGACAAACTTCGAATATTTTACGGAATTTTGTCGTAAAAGCGTAGACATTGCCCCATAAATGAATTACTAATTCAGTGGGGTCTAGTAACTGCCGTTACAAGCTTGCGTTTGTTCTTAGTATTTAAAGTATTAACATCTTTGTTCTTATCAAAGCTATTCATGTTTGTACATTACATTTTCCTTTAAAGTAACTTTAAACTAATCTAGCTGTTTCGGCATTGGTGAGATTACTGGTGTTACGCAGCATATGCTTTAAGACTATCTTTTATTTTATACGTGGTAGAGCCATGCTGCAGTTATATTAGTAGTATAGTTGTAGCACGAATGGGTCGGCTCGACTGGGGAAGGACCACGCTCTCACAGAATACCAGCGTGAAATAGTAGCTTAATGCTGCTGTGTTTCGTATGGTGAGTGTAGAGAACCGGAGACCCTTTTTACTGGAAACGAGGCATTAAATCTTAGTCCTCACGGGTGACAACGCATCTGCATTTTGATTCGTAATCGAGGATAGATGTAGATGTCTATGGGCCACAGCAACCACTTACCATCACGTGGACTGTGTGCTCGTTTGTCATCCTATCCTATACAAAAAAATTGTTACAGCATATGCTGCATAACTAAGTGTGCTTGCTAATTTAGTCGTCAATAGTAATTCCAATAAAAACAGTGGTATCCACAAGACTCAACTCCTTTCCATTTAAGAGCACATTGGTTTTCGATCGTTTAACATTAAATATTATAAATCTAATACACTACGTTTTGCCTTCGTTTAAAAGAAAATCGATAGCGTTAAGCCAATGTACTAATTTTGATTGAGCATTATGCACATCATCATAATTAATTGACTGTCAAACACCTCAGTCTCCCCTACAAAGTAATCTGCGGCTCTCTCGTGACCACGGGTGCTGTTAACCCGAAACTTCCCGAAGATAAAATGCGATAAAATTCATTCAAATATTTGTAGGTAGGCATACTTTCAGTTTATTTGAGTGATTTTTTTTTTTTTGGTAATATTGCGTTATTCTATTAATTCTGCTCCATCCATTCAGCTGCCTACATTATTATTGTTGTTAAAGATTGCGTGATTGAAATGTGATAATATGTCAGTAAAGATTTTGTAGCTTCTTTCCAAAACCTCAACATTATAGAATAAAAAATAGAGTGCGTAAAATGTTAAATTATGGTATTATTGCGACAGTAGCCATTTATAGATTAACCAGCAACCGTTACTAAAAGCTTTTCTCTTTATAGCTTACGCACGTGCGGCTGTATTGTACTTACGTTAAATGCCAAAATGTAGTGAAATCTCAATTTAAATTTAAATTAACAGAAAAGCTTTCTATTTTTAAAGTAATCTTTTAATGCTGTTTTCTTTTTTCTTTTCTTTTCTTTAATTAGTTTGTTTTATAGGTTCCTAGGAGGAGCTAATGATAACATTGATGTTTTCGATACGATAACCTTGTTTTATCGTATTGGAAACTGTCCTAAAGTGCGAAGTATAATGTCGTCACGCCGTAAATTAAAATAAAGATGATTAATTTAAGGCGAATCAAACCCTAGCTAGAAGCATGAAATAGAAAATAATTTGAAACTTTAAGTTTAAAAGACGCGTTTTTGCTATATTATTACATAATGAGTAATATACTATTTTCAGCATCGTCATTTTTATTATTACAGCTAAACTGCTAAACATAGACTTTCCCCAAGAAATGTTATAAAACACGGTTTTGGACTCAGGATGAACACGGACTCCCCGCACGTCTCACCAGCTTTGTACCGGTAAACTAATTGTAAGGCTAGTTAGCGTGACAACCTGCGCCCTACCCTACCTTTATTAACCTTTTTATATAACATTACCTATGGTACGTACCACTATTAGATATTGTGCGCCCAAAGCAAAACTTCAGTCACAGAATAAAATCCTGACTTATGCTTCCAAATATGGAATATGCACAAATGAGTAGTGACGTATGTGCTTTTGTTAATACAAAATTAAAATTACCATAGAGTTAAGATAGCTAAAGTATAAATGCCGTATGATTGGGCCGTAAGAAAACCCATCAACCCATTACGTTCCGAGTGTGTCGTAAGAAGCAACAATGGGATAATACAAAAAATATCTTAGGGCTGGCGTTATTACCATTACGTTTACGCCAAGCGTAAAATAGTCTGGCGATGAGAAGTAGGTGCGAAAAGCGAATACGATCGTGAATCCAGCTGCAAAGACAACTCCTCTTTATTACAGGACTGGCCTGTTATAGGGATCTATCTCGATTAGCTGGTAAGTGTTCAATTACGGCTCATGACGTAGAAAAGGAAAAATAGAAATACATATTAAGTTATTATTTCATAGTAAAGTCATTAATTAATTTTGTCTCTCTTAACATGAGTGTAATCCGTGCGCAAGTTTTTAAAATATAGGCACAGAATAAATAATAGTCGATATAGGTCACGCTTTAAACGTGAAGCTGCACCACAGTGTAGTACTTGCCTTATTCGGCCAATTCACTTTCTCCAAAGGACCTCAATAAGTAAACGTAAACAAGAACGGCGTCAACGTGTACTCGTACAATAATATAGAAAAAACAGTTTTAGTTTAGTTTTAGCGAATATTTTATTTTATAAACGAGTTATTTCGACCTTTTCCTTGTAGTTTAAGGTCTATAATAAACAATATAAAAACTCTATTCAACTTGGCAAAGGCTTATTTTCAATGGAGACCTTCTCTTAGGTAGTATTACCTCTGCATTTAAATATAAAAAAAAAACTCCTATTTATAATGTAACTGACGCATGTAATTTTTGAAATATACCATAATAGTAAGTATATATCATAATTATCAATGCTTATTATCCTAAATCATCAGTTATTAAAGTACCCACGACGAAATAGTAAGGAGTTTGAAGGTAGGCGTATTAATTTAGCAGTCAGTTGCTATAAGCATTACGCTACTCGATTTATTCAGTGCACATGATTGTCCTGCGAACAGCTACTACATTGTACCATATGAGCCAATAGACTATATTTTATACAAAAAAATTAAGTCAATCAATCCAAAATATTAATTAATATTATATGAGAATAAATTGCGAACAAGATCGAAGTCCATCTGATAGTAGGAAGCCACTTCAAAAGAACTTTAAAATACTTCAAATTACTTTTGATGACCAAAAAGGAAATTTTGTCTAACATCATAATACATCGTAGTATGATGTTGTTTCCATTTTGGATTATACGTGGTAGAGCCATGTTGCAGTTATATTAGTAGTATAGTTGTAGCACGAATGGGTCGGCTCAATCGGGGAAGGACCACGCTCTCACAGAATACCAGCGTCAAATAGGAGGTTTATGCTGCTGTTTCGATAGTAATTTATTCCAAAAAGTAACAGTTTTTTTTGAGATTTCTCAAAATCTACCGGTCCGAATTAGTTAAAATTCATAGGAAATCTAAGTTTTATGAAACAGTTTAGAAATAAGCTTTGTTCATTTTTTGAAGTATTAAAAAAAACGAGTGTGTTGTGTAAAGATAGCCTCTGAGTTTGTAATTCCCGGTATTAAATTATGGAGACAAATATATTATTTAAATATATATACTCTAAATCCTAGCGTGCGAATAAAGATTTTTAAAACCAAAAAATATGTAAGGATATGAGAAGCTTTTAGACAGTATACGATTTAAAAAGTAAATTCTTTATGTACTTTTAACACCACTTATTAGTATGTTTTGATTCAAACTTAGAAACAACACATTTAATTTAAAAATAGTATTGTCTCATTTATAAACAATCTTACCGTTAACGTTCCTTATGCGTTCACTGTTTAATTTGGCACTGGTTCCTTTCGTTTCACAATTATTATTATTAGAACTTCGTTGGGTGGCAAAATATTCTTCTCGATTTCCCGCCAGTGCTTCCAAGACGTTGATGTGTCTTGCATCGTAATTGTTCCATCCCTGGTTCACTTCGTTGTAACGCTGAGTGATGTCCGTGAAAATTATCGATGGTGACGACCACTGAATGAACCACTGATGCGATACTGCCATATTTTCGCAGGATGCATTTACACTGCCACAGTTTTAATATCGATAAGGAACTCACTCTTATTCAATCTTTATACTTTATTATAAGCTGGTACACTAGATACGCAGTATCAAATAGACTTGCATCTTAGTTCGCGTGTAACCAGCGCTGTTACAAACTTCATCTGACGACGAGTCAGTCCGCTGGCTTTCAAGAGGAATTAACTCAATCCCTCTTGTGTCGGTTGCAATTTTACAATATGGAACTAAAAGCTTACATATATCAAATTATTTAGAGTCTAAATGTTCATTACTTGTCTGATGTTATAAAAGAATTTCGAACAAATGAAATGTGTTGTGTAATATAAACAATTTATTTTACAATGAAATTAGTGTGTACACTTACTGCAATAAAAGTCATTTCAATTAATTTATATTGTAGCCCGTTGTAAGAAATTGCTGCGTAACACACGCGATTAAACGAGTAATTTTAGCCCTATAAATGAATTTAATTGAAGTATTTAAATATTAAAATTTTAAAAATAACTTTCTATTAATAATTTATTAAAATATTATTGATATATGTTTTTTTACAGCTATAAAACAAATTGTCAAATTATACATTTTCATAAAACGATGTCATGGTGTAAACTTAAATTTATATGTTTTCTTATATTTGCACGATTAGTGTACGTTGAATATAATCAATTTTGTGGAATTTATTGCCTTTAGTTAAACATTTCTCACATTTTAGGTGATTTACTACTATATTGAGATCTTTGACGCTCTGATGTCATTGTTAACTCAGGCTGCTGTCAGTTTTTAAAATTAGTTTATTTTGTGCGATTTTGGCAGAAAGAGCTAACCTGGGTGATCTTGAAGTTTTGCGGTGTTATGCTTGAGTTTGGATTTAATTTTAATAATAACGGGATCCCAACGAGACGGTAGCACAAAGCCAATTTTTTTTCAAAATTTGAATATTGTAGTATACTTTTTTAACTTCATCTTTAAGTATTTGTGGATCAAATTTTGCAATAAATTTTTTAACTAGCAGTTAAAGATTTTGCACACACTTTTTGTGCAAGTGACAATACAATCTTGTTTACTGTTATTGACTGTTACGTAATTTTTTTCAAAATAGCCGCCTCCGCTTTGTGTTATGGAAATTAGTAAAAACGATAGTATTGTTACGAGCTTGAGTTTCGTGACAATAAAAACTGCCGATTGAATTACCAAAATTTACACTTTTATTACCTAACACCAATTAAAACTTAAAACACTAATAATTAACCACACTGATTCACTTTATTTCGCTCCGAAGCTTCGCTTGTCTCGCCAAATTCAATACTGCCTCGATCGCGTCTTGCAGCGCCTTTAAATACACCTTTTTCAACAAAACATCCAGAAGATTCAAGTAAATACTCGCGCCAACAGACCAGGCGCAGAAAGTTCGAGTGTGGAGCTTCTAGAAAGCTTAATTCTTCTGTTCGATATTAGATGGCGCTGTTGGTCGAAAGTCAAGACTGACATTTTCTAGGAAGCTTTCCTCGCTCTGGTCCCCGACACTAGATGGCGCTAGTGCCAGGTACCTGACGGCAACTTAGGTGCGCAACAATATGAATATAATTTTAATGTCATTACAATATACTAGGAACTTCTACTACATAATAAAAATAAAAAAAAAAAAAAAAAATATATATATCTGTGTTTTACGTACATACAGTACACATGGTACCCTGACACAGAAATAAATATCTGTAGATCATACAAAAACTAGTTCCGTGCCGAAATCGAATCTGCAAATAAATGCTGTAACTGTAAGCATCGTCGATCAAAAAAATTTATGTAACGATCATCATCTGGCTGTTATGCAAAATGAAAATTTATCTGGGGTAGGCTATTATATTTATTGTTAGTTACCGAATTATTTGCAACTAACAATTACCAGTTGTATTGTGGTCCAAACGTATGTTGAAGAAGAGTTCGTTAGCACCGCATCATCATCATCTTTGTGGAATCGGCTACCACCTGTGACTTTTCTGGACCGATACGACTTAGGAACTCTTTTTAAAAGTCCGGCTACACTTATTAAATTCGTATGATGTTGCAGTTGTTCATGTGCGGCCGTATAAACTACCATCTTTTTTATACATATATAATGAGGATGACAAACGAGCACACAGTCCACCTGATGGGGTAAGTGAAAGCTGTGGCCCATAGACATCTACATTTATCATCGATTAAGAATATAAACGCAGATGCGGTGCCACCCCTGAGGACTAAGATAGAATGCCTCGTTTCCAGTAAAAAATTGTTCTCCGGATCTCTACACTCACCATACGAAACACAGCAGTATTAAGCTGCTATTTCACGCTGGTATTCTGTAAGAGCGTGTCCTTCCCCCGGCGCGTCCTTCCCCGGTCGAGCCGACTCATTCGTGCTTCAACCATAACATCACCACGTGTAATCATGCGAGCCGTATTCTTGTTTGCCCTCTCTCATGTAAAAACATCATGACAGCCTATCAATGCCCTCTGATGAACATAGGTCTTCCTTATAGATTGCCACATAGAGGTGATGTTTGCCATAGTTGCCATGCTTGGAAGACAAGTTAACAACAGCAGTTTTTTTTAATTTTTTAAAGTTTTTATCAAGAAATTGCTGCCGCCGATCTCTTCATTCAATTCCCTCTGTCGCCTCTTAAGACCAGGTACCAGTTACATTCATTATACCGTGGTATAATGAATGTCAAACCATGGTGCGAGGTCTAGACTCTGTGTGAGATGGAACACCAGCTTCACCTTTTGAGAAACTAACTCGACTTTGTCTTGTTCACATGTTTTGCAACACGTGACTGGCACTATCAGTATTATTTAGACGTCTTTACGCAATAAAGATCTAACCCACAAAAGGCTAGCTTTTGAAATACTGGCGATCTCTTCTTTATAAATAATTCATGTATCAGGTTATTATAACACCTTTCATAGAAAGAATAGATCCAACCCTTTTTTATAACTCTTTCCTTGTGGCTTTTTGCGTAACTACACACATTTATGCAATATACGTCTTAAATATGACAAGTAGTAGATATTATTTATTAATTGATTTTAATTCGTGCTAATTTTTATTAATTACAGTATTTAACGCCGCTTCTAATTATGAAATTTAGACAAATGTTTAGTGGGGTAATCGACGGGGGATGGGATAGTCGATATCATATAATACGATAATTGCGTACATAGTAGAACGGGGGAGTGGGCGGAGCCCGTGTAGCCACTAAAATGTCACTAACACGTCAATTCACACGTATAAATGTCAATACGAGATGTGTTTTAACGTTACAATCGTTTCCATATTTCGCATGCAATTTTTATCTATTTACAAATAAATATGTATAAAAGTTTGTCTGTCGACACAGCAAATCGGGTTTGTAGTAGTCATAATACGACGTGATTTCTTGTATGTGTGGTCCCGGCGACGCCTCCTCTCGTACAAAATAAGGTTGACAGCCATTCTATTGTGTATATTATTATTGGTATTCTATGGTCGATATACTTACACCGTCACTGCATGACGCTTAGCACCCGCTACAATTTTATATTACAAAATATAAGCAATAGTGAATTAGACTTATGAACCATAAATATAAACATCATATCGTCGTGAGGATGGGACGACAGATCGCCAGGAAGTTTAATATCTTAAAACCTCTCAAGAGTCTTGGAACAATTAAGACATTGACTAATACGTGTTAGCGAACTTTTCTCAAAATGTTATTTTATTAATTAGTTAGTCATGCATGTTATGTTTGTTTTAAAGACGGAGATTGGATTTTTTTATAGTATAGGGTGACAAACGAGCACACAGTCCGCCTGATGGTAAGTGGGTGCTGTGGCCCATAAACATCTACATCTGTCCTCAAATACGAATCAAAAGTCAGATACGTTGTCACTTGTGAGGACTAAGATGGATTGCCACGTTTCCAGCAAAAAATGTCTCCGGTTCTTTACACTCACCATACGAAATACAACAGCCTCGAACTGCTATTTTCCGCTGATTTTCTGTGAGAGCGTGGTCCTTCCCCGGTCGAGCCGACCCATTCGTGCTACAACTATATTACTAATACAGCTACATCATGGCTCCACCACGTAAAAAAACACCCGATAAATAATATTTCTCACATTTGGTGTTGTAATCGTCTTTCCACGTGAAATACTTGCATATAGCGGCAGATCTTCTTACTATCAGAGAGGCCTATGTCCCATAGTAGAATTTTAACTAGCTGTTCATAAGCAAGGATCTCTCAAGTAGTCAATACTTCTCTCGACAGTTACAATTTTAACTTATAAAAATCAATAATATCCATTGAATGCCCTTTATAAGCGCATTGAATTTATATGTGTAAGGACAAATTAGTAATACTACATGGGATCTTGATATGAATAGTTATTAACCTGATTGTCAAGCACTCGCTTTAATCACAGTACGCGAGCAACCCGGGGTTCGATCCTCGCTAGTACCCATGAAATTGTTAATTGCAATTTTAAGTGCTGATTTACCACGTACTCGGCGGTGAAGAAAAACGTCGTGAGAAAACCTGCGTGCATTAAGATGCAATATTTCGAAGACATGTCAAGTTCGCCAACACGCATTGGGGCACCGCGGCGGACACTTCCTTGCCCTAAAACCCTCTCAGAATTGAGAAGCGGTCTATGTCCAGCAGTGGGATATATGAAGACTGTAATTTTAACTTTTTAACTTTACCCTTATTGTTATAGTAATAGACAACTACCCAAAAATGAGTCGCTAGTTTTGCGATGCCTATACGAGGGCGGCACTGAAAATTTCGGGAATCAAGAAAGTGACACAACATTACTACTTAAAAATGTATTTATTGCTTTTCGAAGTATTCTCCGCGAAATTTGACACATTTTTCCATACGATGGAACCAATCATTGAAGCAACCATTCCATTCGGAAGTTGGGGTCTCCAAAATGTCCGTTTTGTAGGCGTCCACAGCTTGT